ATTTTCTTCCATTATTTAACTATTTTAGACTGTCCAGGGACTAACAGTGAAGATGCAGGCAAAGCATCTGCTTGTGCTGGGTGCCCAAACCAGCAAGTATGTGCATCTGGAGCAACCAAAGCTCCAGACCCAGGTAAACATCAATGAATTTTCCAGATGCACTTTAGGAATATACTGTATATATTGATAATTATTCTCATGTCAGTTTTTTAATATTTAATTTGTAGTATATGATAACTGATGCATATTCACATAACACATTATTTTCTGTGGCTTAAAGAGACAATAATGTGGCCTAACTAAAAAAATATATATGTATATGTATTAATATATATATATAATAATAAACAGATAAAGTAATGATAAAAAATATAATAAAGTATTTAAATTTAGGTTCAGATTCTGATATTCATAATGATGTAGTGTGCATGATTATAGTACAGATATACATATATAAAACACCCATGTTACACTTGCAGATCTTGGTGCTGTGAAAGAACGACTAGATACAATTAAGTATAAAATCTTGGTGTTATCTGGCAAGGGAGGTGTTGGAAAGTCTACTGTTTCAGCTATGCTTGCTCGTGCACTAGCTCTTGATGAGACCAAAGAAGTAAGTTTTACATATTGTAAATTTCATTTGTTGCTGTAATACTTCCATACTAGAGTGGTGGCAAGCATTTATATATACATATATATGTATATGATGGTGTGTTCATGCAATATGTATGTACAGTATTTATCTATTTGCGAATGCAAAACACTCACAGGCATGAATACAAAATTTGCCATCAGACCTTTCTTATATCAACCTGTACCTTATCTTTTTGAGTTCGTTGATTAACAGAAACCCTACTCTGCGAAGTAGAATTTTCCAGTGATATATAATAACTAGTCATCATTGAACTGAAAAAAATATGTTGAAATCATTATCTAGATAACATTGTCATAATAATAAGGTTTTAGTATGTGTGTTCACTAAATTTTAAAATCTTAGTTGACACAGTAGTAATGCCAATTATATTAAACGAGTGTCAACCTTTATCTCATCTAAAGATTTGCGGTAATGTGAGCCATACAAGACACGTCATAAACGTATTTTTTTTTCCATTTTCATTGCCAGAGCCAAGCTATGGAAATTTCGGAATAATTTTAGAAACAAGATGTTTATTGAACTGAATTTGAAAAATATATGTAGGATACTCGAAATATATTTAGATTTTTTTTCTTCAAAATTCTCCCGGGGACAGTACCCACAAACCTCCGGAACGATAATATTCGTCTCCTGGACTACAAAATTGCTCAAGGTGGGGTTGGCAGGGTTGCCAGCATAAAGGACGAAGCACAAGGGCGAAGCCCCGTATACATTCAGTTGAAAAATAATTCAACCACCTTCTGTGTTCAAGGTAATCAAAGACCTAGGATTTCTGTGTGGACTTTTCTTTTTAGCGGTTTACAGTATATATCAAGCATTGGTGTACTGAGCAAAAAGTTCTGTTATATGGCAGACATCAGGTCACACGGGTTTGTGCGTTCGCGTAGGGTCACTCGAGCAATTACGTGACCCCCAAGACACACGTGAGGGTGAGGGGAGTGCGTGCGTGTCTCGACCGTCTTGGAGGAGGACACCGACCATGCACTCTGCTATTGATCCTTCATCCTACCTTGGTCTCCTTCCTCCCCCGCACCCACCCTTCTCGTAACCGCCCGCGCGCCCATTATAACCTTAAACTAGCGTAATTGCGCCTAATATGGGAAGCTGTAAGAACAACGTATGTTATGGCGTGTCAGGGATATACTCGACTGTGTAGGAATCTCTTTAGAAGTCCCAGGTCTAATGCGGAAATATTCGACAAACACATTTGTTACGCTTTCGATCGGTGTCTCACGCGGGAAAATATGATAATGAATTTGCTTCCATTATCCGGAGAGTATCGTACGAAAATGAGGATTGGTCATCGCATGCGCTAATCGATTTCATGCGTT